GAACTCACAGAGTGCCTCTGCTTCCGGAGTGCTGGGATTAAAGGCGTGAGTCACCACTCCCCGACAAGGACAATAGTATTACACTATTAATATCAGGGGCCTTCATTTTTATGAACAAATACCCAGCAAGTCTTGAGTTTGATAAGTCCTGGAAGCCACAGAACTAATAAGTACAGCTGGAATTTTTGTTGTTGTTTTGTTTTGTTTCTTGAGACAGGGTTTCTCTTTGTTGTTCTGGTTGTCCTGGAACTCACTCTGTAGACCAGGCTGGCCTCTAACTCACAGAGATCTGCCTGCCTCTGCCTCCCGAATGCTGGGGTTAAAGGCATGCACCACTACTGCCCGGCTACAGCTGGGATTTTTGTTTGTTTGATTTATTGTTTTTCTTGTTCTTTTTACTTTTATTATGATTGTTGTTGTTGATACAGGGTCTTGCTCTATAGCCTGAGCCGACATGAACTTGTGTCGATCTTCCTACCTTAATCTCCTGAGTGTAGAGATTACGTAAGTGAGCTACTATGCCTTGCAGATCAGATTTTGTGTGTGTGTGTGTGTGTGTGTGTGTGTGTGTGTGTGTGTTTGCGAGCGTGCCTCTATATCTGTATATGTGCTTTGTTTTGAATTGTGTGTGGAGGCTAGAGGATCACCCTGGGTTTTCTTCCTTTTTTTTTTTTTTTTTTTTTTTAAGATTTTATTTATTATGTATACAACATTCTGTTTCCATGTATATCTGCACTCCAGAAGAGGGCACTAGATCTCATAACAGATGGTTGTGAGCCACCATGTGGTTGCTGGGAATTGAACTCAGGACCTCTGGAAGAGCAGTCAGTGCTCTTAACCTCTGAGCCATCTCTCCAGCTCAGTTGGTTTTTTGTTTGTTCGTTTGTTTTTGTTTTGTTTTGAGATAGGGTTTCTCATTTGCTGGAATTTGTCAAGTAGATAAGGTTGGCCAGTCATTTAGTCCTAGTAATTTGCCTGTCTCTACCCTCACACTACTAGGATCTAAGATTACAAGCAGGAACCACTATACTGGGCTTATTATCTGTTATCATTTTTTTTTTTTTTTATGTGCATGAGTTTTCACTGCATGTATGTATGTGTACCATGTATGTGGTGCCTGTGGTCTGAAGAGGATTGTTAGATGGTTGTAAGCCACTGTGTGGCTGTCATGCCTGGCTTTTTGTTTTGTTTTGTTTTCTTCCCTGTGTGGGTTCTAGCTCTGAACTCAGGCTTTCATGCTTGCAAGAACTTTACCAACTGAGCCATCTTCCAGCACAGGGAAAAAAGTTGTTTAATGTGAGGCTGAGCTGGGGCTTATACATGTGCAGAGGGCACTTTACCGTTGAATTGTATCCTCGGTCCTAGAATGTTATGCTACACAAGGACTCCACCATTCGACTACATCCCTTGAAAATTGTAATAAGAAAGACAAAGAGGATAAACTCCCATGGACCCATCACCTTGGCCCAATGTCATCCATCTGTAATTAGTCTTACTTCATTTATAACCACGTCTTCTTCATCTGCAGTATTTGAAGTTTATCAAACGTAACATACCACTCTGTATACTTTTCAGTGTGAAGTTTTGTAATTTATTTGTTTATTTTTTGAGTCTTTCTATGTAGTCCTGGCTGTCCTGGAACTCCCTACATAGACCAGGCGGGTCTCATACTCACAGAGATCCACCTGGCTCAACGGGTAGTTCTAAGTAAGAAGACTTCTACTAATTCTTTGAGAATTGCATATTGTATTGCTTTGATTTTGTTGTTGTTTTTTTTTTCAGATAGGATTTCTCTATGTAGCTTTGGCTGTCCTGGAATTCAGAGGTCTGCCTGACTCTGCCTCCCAAGTACTTAGATTAAAGGTATACACTACCACACCCAGCGTTGATTGTATTTGAGGTAGGGTCTCTCTATGTAGCCCTGTGTTTTATTTGTTCATTATTTATTTATTTAATGTGTATGAGTGTCTTGCCTCCTTGTATGTCTGTATCACTTTCATATTCAGTGTCTCAGCTTGGCTGGATGAGCATCAGTCCCTGGGGATCCAAAGCTAATACTTTGTATCCCTTTTCCTGCTGCCCAGCAAATACCCAGGAACTGGATCCTTATGGTAGAGAGGTGCACAGAATGGGAGTCCGCCCAAGGAGAAGAGAATTTGCGGGTGTCAATAGCAGGTTCTCTCTCATGTGGGACTCTCAGATAACCTTTAAGAATCCCCCTTGTTCTAGGCCCTTTGGCTGTTAAAGAAGAATCTAGCCTGTGTTAAGTGTGGTCTGAATCTTCAGCAAAGACCAGGGATGCCCCCTGGTGGATATGCACCTTCCCAGTGTAAACACAAAGTGGCTTTAGCTTGGGTCCACTTCCTAGTATCTTTAGGGCTGCAACCAGCCATTGAAAACTGGAATTGTTGAAGGCAGGGTAATCCTTTTGGACCTTGGCATGTGATCAAAATACACAGCATTGCAGAGGCGGCACTAGAGCCCGGATTCTGGTGTGGCCTTCAATTAGTTTCAAAACCCAGCTCTGTGTACTGACTGGGCATGCTTGGGCAAGTTAGCTGTCCAAGTGTCCAGTCTCTCTTGCGTCCAGTAAGGATAATTGGAGTTCTGCCTCACAGAGCAGTGGGCATGAAAATTCCCGTGGAGGGGGGGTGTGCCTGTGCTGACAGGCTCAGCAAATGGCAACAGTGATAATGGATAGAAAGAGCATGTTCCAGGGGACACCAGTCATTGCTCCATGTATGGCCATGCTTCTCTCATCTATAAAACAGTCAGTCTTGCTTTCCTTCAGGGTTGCTGTGAAAACCAGACCTTGAATCCAACAGATAAGAACATCTGAGTTCTTCTGTGTGTTTGAGGAGTTATTTTTATAACTGGGCTTCTACTTCATGAGTGGCACTCCATTTCACCAATACTGGCTGTTGGCCTGAAAGTAATGAGCTGTTAATTTGAATCAGTGTTCAGGTTCATCGAGAGCTGTTTGGTGCAAGGGTCAGCAGACTTCTCAGAAAGGACCAGAGAGCAAACATTCAAGGCTTTGCGAGCGATGCACTTTCTGTCACAGGCGCTTGGCACTGTCACTTTAACTTGTGGGTGATACAGAACCTGAGTCTGCTGGCCAGTGCCAAAAAAAATTGTGTGTGGACTTGGGAATTCAGATTTCAATCATTTTCACAATTTTGAAATACTCTTTCCTTTCTCCCACTGCATTTAGGAATGTAAAAAATTCTCTTCTGGGGATGGCACTTAGAGCCCCCCCCCCTTTTTTTTTGTTTTCTTTCGAGACAGGGTTTCTCTGTGTAGCTTTGGAGCCTATCCTGGCACTTGCTCTGGAGACCAGGCTGGCCTCGAACTCAGAGATCCGCCTGCCTCTGCCTCCCGAGTGCTGGGATTAAAGGCATGCGCCACCACCGCCCGGCGAGATCCTGTTTTTAAAAAGGAACAAACAAAGGCCAAAAAAGCATAGAGCCAAGCATGATGGTGTGCCTGTGTAGTCCCAGGAGTCGGGAGAGCATGGCTGAAGGTCCTGAGTTCAAGATCATTCTGGGCTATGTAGGGAGGTCTGTCTTTTAAAAAAAACAAAAAACTTGCTGTATCCTTCCTGCTTGTGATCTCAGCATTGGGAGATGGAGGCAGGAAGATCAAGAGTTCAAGTGCCTTCTGGGTTGCATTGCTGAGGCCAGCCTGAACTACAAGAGACACTGGCTCAAAAACCAAAACCAAAACCAAACAAATAGAAAAGCAGTGGGCTGGTTCAGCTGTTGGCCTGTAGTGGTTGTGTTAACCCTGGGTGAGTGCAGTTCTAACCTTGGGGCTTGTGGTGAGTGGAGGGTTCAACTTTGGTTGTTGTTGATGTTTCTAAGTCTCCACTGACTATGTATTTGTCACTGAGATAGTGAGGAATTGGGGTCCTTTCAGGCCAGATGGTGGGTTTCTCACGGCAGTTGTGTTGTCTTGAGTATAACAACCCGAAGGTGCTACCTTCCTTAATAAATCACCAAGAACTTGGCAGCCTGCATTGTGTCCATTTTCTGCCCCTTCAAGGTTCAGTCATTTCCTCCTCCATGGCTGAAGTTACAGAGACATCTGTTTTCCCTTTTCACAGATTAGCAAAGGAAGGCCCACAGTTTGCTTGTTGGTAGGATCTAGGCCTAACTTGGAGGGTCTGTCTCTGTTTAGTCCTGGTTCCCATTTCTCTAGGATGCCATGAGAGGTTGAGAAGGAAGGCTGGACTGTCCTCCCCAGGAGGCACTGCTCTCTCCATTGTGCCACCATTTATAGGTGGCATGGTGTTCCACTACGTATTTAATACTCGTTCATTCCCTGTTCATGCCAGGCCCCTTTCTCCAGATTTGTGTTAGAGAATAGTAAGATGTTATATGGCGTGGCTACACGTTCCCCTACAGTTATAGAATAATGAGATTGTCTCTTTCTTTTGTTTTTTTTTTTTTTTTTTTTTTTTTTTTTTTTTTTTTTTTTTGGATCCCATTTTATGGTCTAGTCTTGCCTAGAACTCACTGTGTAAGTCATGCTGGCCTTGAACTCATGGTGATCCTCCTGCCTCACCCAGCCTCCTGAGTGTTGGAATTACAGGGGTATGTCACTTTCCTGGCTTATGCAATGCTTGAGGCTGAAATTGGCACTTTGTCTCAAAAAAACAAAAAACAAACAAACAAAAAAAGTAATTTTATGGTTGGGGGTCACCACAACATGAGGGTTGAAGCATTAGGAAGGTTGAAAACTACTGTTCTATAGGGTTGCCTGCAGTCCAATCTTACGGAAGCATTTTCTCAGTTGAGGCTCTCTCCTCTGATGACTGTAGCATGTGTCAAGCTGACATAAAACAAGTCAGTATACACAGTTATTGGCAGACTTAGAGTAGAGGTGAGGAAAGCCTGAAGCTCTGTAGGAGAACAGATGTTGGATGTTGGGGATGCTTCCTCATGGGATCTGTAGTCCTAAGCTGGCCACAGGGAACAGTGTGTACATTCTATCCCCAGGGAGTCGGCGGTTGGTGGATGTGATGGACGTGAATACCCAGAAGGGTACCGAGATGAGCATGTCCCAATTCGTACGTTACTACGAGACACCAGAGGCACAGCGGGACAAATTGTACAATGTCATCAGCCTCGAGTTCAGCCATACGAAGCTGGAGCACCTGGTCAAGCGCCCCACTGTGGTATGCTGAGGCTTTCATGGCCCTTCCATTCTTGTCTGCCACCCACCTGCTTCCCATGAGGCCTTCTTGAGATGGAGTGGCTGGGTGGGCATGGCTGAGGCTGGTCCCTTGGGGTGTGGTGGGGAAATGTAGAGGCAGAGTTGGATCCAGTGCCTGGAAGGGTGGCATGGGGTGACGCAACCCAGCTGAAGGCACCCAGGGACTCCTCAGGCAGAGGGGTAGTTCTCTCTGGACTGTCTGCAGGATATGCTGGGGGTGCTCACAATGGACTGGCTTTCAGGTGGACCTGGTGGACTGGGTGGACAACATGTGGCCCCAGCACCTAAAGGAAAAGCAGACAGAAGCCACAAATGCCCTTGCAGAGATGAAGTACCCCAAAGTGAAGAAGTAAGATTGCTTGGCTGGTGGTGGGACTGGGCAGGGGTGGACCCCCAAACTTGTGGGTATTGGCAAGGGACTTTGTGGTCCTCTATCAGGGTCTCAGTGTTGCTTTAGAGGTGAAGGGTTGACCCCCAGCTGGAGTATGGTGGTGACACCAGAAATAAGTCCCTGGGTTTGAACAAAGCAGCATCTCCTCTCCCTGGGATGGAGGCCTCTGAGCCCTGTGATGGGTCAGGGCTTCTTTCCTGTTGGCTCTGGAGCCTTTACACAGCTACACTGGAGGTCTGAGAAGAGTGATGGGTGCTCTCTCTGTGGCATCCATGTTATCTGTTTTCGAAACATTGGTCTACAACCTCAGTGTGACAGTATCCTGGGAGTGGCATTTTCAGAGGGACAGGAGCAACACAGGATTTGGGCTAGAAATCTTTAAAGATTTCTTTGATATGTGTGTGTGAGTGCGTGTGTGTGTGTGTGTGTGTGTGTGTGTGTGTGTGTGTGGTGTGTCAGATCCCCTGGAAAGACAAGGAGTTATGAACCTTTAATGTGGGTGCTGGGAACCAAATCTGGTCCCTCTGTGAGAGAGAATAGCAAGTGCTTTTAACCACAGAGCTGTCTGTCCATCCCCTTTCTCCTCTTTTCTTTGGTGTTGAGACCTGTCACCTCTGAGCCGGAAGTACCTCCACCAAGCAAAGCTCAGTGTTAGCTTTGTCACCTGATATTCCTTCAGTGGTGCCCTCTGGATTGGAGGGTGGCTGGGGTGGGGAAAGTAACCACAGTTGAGAGCAAAGAGAGACCTCACTGCAGATCACATGACCAGCATGTTCTGAGTTTGCTGTTCAGTATGGACAGGGGTACTTGGGAGTCCTTTCATATTAAGGGATTTGAATAATGGACCATCTGGAGGAGGAAGTCACCTTGGATACTCCTGCCATTTCAGACCCTCTGTTTGTCTCTCTGAAATGGGAAGGAGAAAGACCGGTGCTGGCAGCCTGGAGCCCTTAGCATCTGTGCTTAGCCCTGCTGCCAGCAGTGCCCCCAGGAAATCTCTCCCGTGAATTCCTCATCCCTCAGCCCTCCATTCATCCTGTATCGGCAGACTGCGTGCCAGGCTTTGTAAGGCTGGCTAGCACTCTTGGCCCTGGATTTCTCAACGCTCCTCCCTGCCTCTCTCTCTCACACACACTCTCATTAATTCATGGACATTTTTCTTCTCCTCTAAGCCGAAGTTCAATGTATTCCTTGGATCTGGGCTTTATCAAAGGCAGAGAATATGGTCCAGGTGCAGAGGGAGGGAAGCAGGCTTGTTTCCAATTCTGTGCTGTTCTGATTGAATCACAGCATAATGTTCTGAGATGGTCAGATAAAGAGATGAACAGGACTAAGGACCTCCATCCTCCTCACCCTGTGTAGAGCATGCCCTGTAGCACAAGCTGCCATATTTCTAGGTAAAAGTAAACAAACTCAGGCAGGTGCATCTCTTTGAGCTCTTGTTCTCAAGTGGTCCTCTTGGAGGGCAGGGGACATTTAACTTGGGGTTTATTTTATTCTTTGTTTTGTTTGAGACAGTCTCTTTACATAGTTCTGGCTGCCCTGGAAGCCACTCTGTAGACCAGGCTGGCCTTGAACTCAGAGATCCACCTGCCTCTGCCTTCCTAGTGCTGGGATTGAAGGCATGCGCCACCATGCCTGACTACTTTTCTTTCAGGACATCTGACTACTTTTCTTTAAAAAATTGTTTTTTAATAGCTGGTGCACGCCTTTAATCCCAGCACTCAGGAGGCAGAGGCAGGGGGATCTCTGAGTTCAAGGCCAGCCTGGTCTCCAGAGCGAGTGCCAGGATAGGCTTCAAAGCTACACAGAGAAACCCTGTCTCGAAAAACCAAAAAAAAAAAAAACAAAAAACCCAAAAAAAAAAAAAAAAAAAAAAAAATGTTTCTTATTACTGTATGCTCATGGATGTGTGTGGGCACGTACCAGAATGTGCATACCCAAGTCAGAGGTCAGGGTTTTTTTTTCTTATGGGAATTGATTGCCGTTAAGTGGCCAGGCATGCAGAGCGAGTGCTTTACCTTTTGGGCTGCTTCCGCTTCCTAACTGTGCTTTGGAGGGCAGAGGAAATGTGACGATTGGAGAGAGATTGAGAAAGGGAAATGGTGAAGACAGCTGGAAGAAAGAAGCGATTATCACTGGTCCAGTGACTGTTTGCTTTCATTCATTCGGCAACAGTGAGTTGAGCATCTCCATGGTGCTGAGGACACAGGGTGGGGGAACCCTGATGAGGTCTCTGTCCTAATGGAATGGTCAGTTTATGGAGAGGCAGATGTTAGTTAATCCAGCAGTGACAGGAGTAGGTGGGAGCTGACCTGGGCATGAGGCCACCAACCGAAGCATGAGATGAGTCATCTGGCAAGGGTCTCTCAGTTGATCCTAGAGCTCCCAAATATAGCTTAGTCTGGCTAACCAGGTCACCTGAGGGATCCCCTGTCTTGGCCTCCTGAAGTACTAGAGTTACAGTCAGGCTGCCACACCCTGGAATTTATGTGAGTTCTGTCGATCTGAACTCTGGTCTTCATGTGTGCATGGCAGGTGAAAACAAGCACCAAGCAGTTTCCCTAGTTCTTCGGAGTGTGGTTTGAGAGCTAACCCAGTCTAAAAGCTCATGATCTTTGTGCCTACACTGGCTGAGTGCTGGAGTACTGGCCATCTTCATCACCCACCCCCATTCTGTCTCTCTATCCCCTGAGATACTCTAAGCAAAGAGGGATGGGAGCTTTCATGTGGGTTTGCATTCTGCAAATGCCCCTGCTGTGTGGATTGGAGGTGTGAGGAGACTGTGCTGCCTGGCCTACATCTCAGCAGACAACAAAAGAGGCGATCACACCTGGGCATATATTTAGGAAGCAAAATAGATTGTGCTGGGTGACAGGAATGCCTATTGAGATCTTCCTTACCCTTCTGAGTGCTTCGGTGTAGTCTGCACTTTATGGAAAGATTCCTTTAAATAGTAAGCCCAATGCACATTTAAGGGCTCTCTAGTTACCAAAACAGTGGGGCATAAATGTGTGACTTTTTAGGCCCAGGTGTCTCAGATGTATTGGTGCGACCGTGTTTCAAATAGATTCCCAAACTCCATCAGTGGCCATGGGAACTTACTATAGAATTTGAACCTTCCTAGGAAGGACGTTTTCACCTTGGAGATAGTTCATTTGTTCAACTGAAAAGAAAGCTGTTTTCAAATGTTCATAAGCAAGGTGAAGAAAAAAAAAATCCACCATGATGGAGTCCTCTGGGACTGTGGAATGGTTCTGTGGAATTTAATTAAAATGACATTGTTTCTGGAAATCACAGTGTTTCCTTGCTGAAGGCACCTGCAGAACAGATTGCTGACGGCCCTCCTGAATGGAAGGGAGGTTTGTGACATGGAGGGGGACTGGTGACAAACACTAGCTTTTTTTCCTGCCTCTGGGATTTATACTGCTTCATTGTGGTCAGAGGTTTAGGAATTTTAATAGGTTTCAGTTGAGATTCTTAAGGCAGGGGAAGGTGAATAGAATCTGGGTCTACCAGCCAGAGGGAGATGAGAGATTTCTGGGGGTGTTTATGAGTTAGTTATGGTGCAAGAGGCTACTTTAAGTTAGCCATGTCCCCAATCTCATGGAGCGTTTATTGTGGTGGGGACAATACAAACAAGCCAACAAGGAAATTATGTCATTGAATGTGTCTCAACAGAACAGAGAACCGTAGGATGGATATAAAGGAGAGAGAATGAAGGGGTGGACCGATGAATACTGACAGCACCCGGCATTTCTGCTGTTGCCTCCTTCTCCTCGACTGCCTTGTGGCGATGCTTTCATTGTGTAGAATTATTCACCTTGGAGAAGCCCTACCTGGAGAGTGACAGTACTGGGGAGGATCCTGGCTTGGTTGCTTATTGTTGCTTAACTTTAACATCCTTAAAAAAAAAAAAGATTGAGCAGAGCCAGGTGTGGCAGCTCCTCCCAGAACTTAGGCTACAGCTAGAGGATCATTGTGAGTCCAAGTTTAAAACAACCACCTGATTCACCCTCCACTGCCCAAAACTTAAGACAGCAAAGGTGATGTCAAGGGCTTGCTCAAGGACTCCTTGGAGCTTATGTCAAGGCTTAGGTCCGGTTGCGTTCATCTTAAGATTAGAGGCAGGCTTCTGAAATGGAGTGCTCATAGGGCTATTGGCAGGATGCCAGTGGAGGGTGAGTTGCTTACCATGTGGACCACTCCACAGGGCTGCTTGAGTGTCCTCATGGCGTGGCAGCTGGCTCCCCAGAGTGACTGCTGCCAGGAAGACTCGAGAGACCATAGTGCTCTTATGACCTAATTTTGAAAGTCATATCCTGTTTACTTCTGTTGTATTCGTTAATTAGTCCAGCTTGTACTCTAAGAGATAGAGATGGAGCTCTACCTCTTTTTTAAAACTTCTTTTTAGAAGGGTGGTGGTTTGCTTGAGAATAGATCTCACGTAGCCCAGGCTGGCCTCAAATTCGCTGTATAGCCAAGGATGACTTGAGCTTCTGATTCCCCTGCTTCAGCCTCGGGACTGGTGGGGTTAACAGGCATGTGACCCCCTATCCTTACACTTTTTAAAATTTATTTTTATTTTATGTGAGTGAATGTTTTACCCACATATGTATGTACTATGTATCCTCGCAGAGGCCAGAAGAGGTTATCTGGTCTTCTGGAACTGGAGTAACAAACAGTTGTCAGCTACCATGTGTGTGAAGGGAACTAAGCCTGTGTCTTCTACAAGAGCAGCAAGTGCTCTTAACCATTGAGCCATCTTTCCAGCACTCCCAAGTCTTGTTTTTATGTGATGCTGGGGATTGAACCAAGGGCTTTATACTTGCTAGACAAACACTCTGCCGGCTGAGCTACAACTCCAGCTCCCCTCCCCTGTGTCTCTTTGGTGCTGAGATGACCCCAGAGCCTTGCATATGCCAGGCAAGTGCTCTCCCATTGAGCCGCAGCCCAGC